CCTGTATTGTCAGGGTCACTCAGTTCGCTGTCAGACCGCAGCTCCGTAGGTCTCCTTTTTTTTGGTATTTTCATGCAAATTCTTCTGCTTGTTGGGGTTTAGTCCAATTCTGCATCCTTTCCTTCAAGGCTCAGGGGTCCAAGGTTATCTTCTGTGTCTGTATTAATTGGTTTCCCTTTTCTTTGTTGAAGAGTGTCTGTGCAATCCTTCTGCCTAGTCCGCCATCTTGCCCCGCCTAATTTGAAATTTTTAAATATAAAAAAAAATAGTCTAGAAACATACACAAGATTGATTCTTAAAGAAATTGTATCCAAAATTACAGAGCTAGTAAGTGAGAAATCCATTTTATTTGTATTAGATTAACTCTTTTTCTCCCACATGGTGGTTGGCTTTAACTAAAGGTGCTTATCTAATGAGAAATTGAAATACGGCCAAGAGGAGTTGAATCTTTTCTTAACTATTGTGGTTTTGTTAACCAAAGTATATGTTTCTTTTTTCATTTAGGCCAGCCAATGTTGGTAAGTCATAAGCTTTGAAACAAAACTTCCAATTACAGTTGCATAATTAGTTATCCAATCAAAAAAAAATTACTGTGATTTGGGTGAAAGTTTACAGAGCAAATTCCTTTTCCATACAGCAATTCGTACACATTTTGTTTCATGACATTGACTGCAGTTCCCCACAATGTAACAGCTCTCTTGCCATTTCCTCCCTGTAGTTAGCTCTTCTTCCCTGTGACTTCCCTCTCATGAACCCCCCTCCCTGCAGCTGTCTCCCTGTGCAAACACTGTCCTTCTGTTCTCCCACAACTATAATCCAGGGAGTGTATCTACCTGGTGTAAATGATCACCCCATATGCCTGTCTGTTGTTTGGATGGAAGTCACAGGAGTGAGTTCAGTTCCAAACCTGAAGGGTAACTAGAGGCCATAGTTTCAGGGGTCTCACAATAAAATTATCCAGGGTTTTAATGTATTTTTTAAGTATGTTTTTTAGTTATTTTGGTTAGATCTACAGCCTATTTTTTCATTTCACTTTTTTTTTTTTTTTGAGAATATACATAGCTAAGCATATACCAATTCACATGTGACATTGATTACATTTTTCCAATTGTGCATCCATTCTCACCTTCCTTTTCAGAGTTGTTCCTACCCCTTAACATAAACTCACTGCCCCCTAAGGTTCTTATCTAATCTTTTGAGTTGCTGTTGTCACTTTGATGCTGTATAGATAGTTCTTAAAAGAGCTTGAGGCTCAGTGCAGACATTTACTATTAGTTAAGCCTCATCTGTTCTTTCATTTATTGAATTGTGACAGGCATTGTTAAAGTTTAAGATATCACAGAGGTTTTTTTTAAATCAAAGGAGCAAAACAACATAACTTGTTTTTATAAGGTAGAAATAATTATAATCTGAACTATTTATGAAATACAAAGTCAATATTAATGTTGTTAAGTCAATTTATAAATTTAGGTTTTCATTTTTATTCCTCAAGTGATTTGTATTTAATGTATGTTTCCAATAGGTTCATTCCAGCCAACAAATGAAATGATGCTCAAGTTTTATAGCTTCTATAAGCAGGCAACTGAAGGACCTTGTAAAATTTCAAGGCCTGGATTCTGGGATCCTATTGGAAGATATAAATGGTAATTTTATATAGATAGCTGTTAAAGAATTTTTATTTTGGTAACATCATTATTATATGGCTATTTATGCAGTTGTGTATTACTCTGTATACAAAGTGTCCTGAACCCTCAGTACAGTTTTTACCCTCAGGTGCTTTGAACACAGTTTTACACAGATAGGGAAATCTTGGCAAAGGGAAGAGAACTATATAACCAAAGGAGTAGATGCTTCAGAGATAAAAGGCAGTTCATCTTTCCTTTTATGGAGTTGTTTTTTTTAATGCCATGAGCAACCCCCAAATCAAAGTTAAATGAACAAACTCTTCTATTTGCCAAGAAAATAATGATTTTTGTTTGTCAGATGTCATTGTTTGCTTTGAGCTTGTAAGTAATATGTAACTAGCAACATAACTGAGGCAGTGGTGGCACTAGGGGAGTGTAGGGGATGTGGACTGCATAGGGTGACACTGTCAGAGGGAAATGATACCTCGAGAACCGTCTATAACATTTTTGTCCCATGTTTCAGCAGCAGTTTTTTTATAAAATTATCCCTGTAATTAATTATAACATCAAAAAATTTCTCCTAAGCCCAACTTACTTTATTTACTTTTTGAACCTTCTAATGCACTCTGGTCAGAGCTGTCATTACCCAATTACAGTGGTACTTTGAATCACATGGTTTCCTCTGCATACACTAAGGCACGCGCTATTTTCATTGCTGCTGGTATTTTTATAGTCACTGATTTTGTCAAATTTTTGGTGTTTTAGCTACAATATTGTGGCAGTATTGGTGAGCTTTTGTCAGTAACTTGAGAATGAAGTAGTGATTAAAAGGAGAAAAATCAAAGAGGCTTCCACTCAGTTACTTGTAATGCTGTAATTAGTAACGTTTATATTCAACGTAGAAATATTTCACAAAATTTTGTTTTTCGTATTCATATAACTAAAAAATATTTAAGCAATACAACTATACTTACTGCTATCATTCTATGATTTAAATTGATAATAATCATGAAGGATTATGGTCTGGTACAGGAGGAGGTCAGTGGGGACGGGTTGACACCATGAGTTACCATGCTGGGTGACACCATTCCTAGTGGTGCCACTGGACTGAGGTATTGCCATATTAACTTTTTATCGAAGGTTTACTCCTGACCCACTGTGCTTGAATAGAAAAACTAATTTGATTTTTAGTATACTTAAAAGAATTATGAAATATCGAGAGACACTTCTGTCATTTTTCTGACTGTTGTATGCTGTTGAGTCAGCATATATTTGTTAATAAAATTTCGTTCCAACTCATAGTAACAAATAGGACAGTAGAACTGCCCCATAGGGTTTTCTAGGCTGTAGTCTTTAGGGGAACAGATCCCCAGGCCTTCCCCCTCCCCTATTGAGCCACTGGGTGGGTTCATACCACCAGCCTTTAAGTTAGCAGGCTGAGCATTTAACCATTGCTCCACCAGGGTCCTTTCTAATTGATTAACATATGATACTACTAAATACTACTATAGACTTTGCAGACGTTTGACAAAAGTCAGTTTTAGACTGTACTTTATGAGCAGAGTTTGCTAATTGGTGAAATGTGTCCATTCTGATGCTAAATTTCTTCACCCTTGAACTTAACAAGCCATTAGCTGTTTGGAGATTTCTTACTACTACTATCCTCTAAGACCTTTATGAACAATCAAAAGTAATAGGTTAACAATATGTTATTTAATGTGTCTTATTTCAAGAAAATTTATTTTCTTACTTTTTTTCTTCCTCAAAATTGACACTTGATGGAGTTAAACTGCCTCTGGGGAAAATGCATGAAAAAAGAGATTGTCATGTTAGGCAAAAATTTCAAATGACTAATGTCATTTTCTGGAGTCCTTGGGTGGTGTATACACTTATCGTGCTTAGCTGCTAACCTAAGGTTGGTGGTCCAGGTCCACCCAGAGTTAGCTCAGAAGAAAGACTCGGTGATCTACTGAAAAATCAACCCCTGAAAATCTTATGTATCACAGTTTTACTCTGGCACACATCAAGTTGGAATCACCTCTATGGCAACTGGAATTTTACTGTTTCTTTATGGTCATTATATAGGGATTTAAAATTTTTCTGTCATTCACATTTTCATTTTATTTTAAAAGTAAGAAACTATTTTGATTTTTAGTTTGAGTGTATAAATGATATAAATTAATAGAAACTTTTAACTAAAACTCTGTTCATTTAAAACATGGCTATGACAGTTAATGGTGGCGTAGTGCCTAAGGAAGATGGGGCAATCTACTTCCGTAGCGATACTGCCTTGGAAACCCAAGGGAGGGGTCGCTATGAGTCGGGTCCGACTTGACGGAACATAACAACAACAACAGTACCTAAGGCACTTGACTGCTAACCAGAAGGTTGGCGGTTCAAACCCACCAGCCACTCCTCAGAAGGAAGATTGGGCAATCTACTTCTGTAGTGATACAACCTCGGAAACCCAAGGAGGGGTCGATAGGAGTTGGTGACGACTTGACGGCACATAACAACATGACAGTTAATGTAGTCTTCTAAAAATGTTCATTTCTGTTCTTTATAATAATGTAAATACTTTTAAAGTATACTTAGAAAATATTTATGCATAGTTTAGCCTCTGTGGTTTATTAATATGTGGATGGTATATTCTTAAGGAGCTCTGGTGGCACAGTTGCCTAAGGCATTTTGACTGCTAACCTGAAGGTTGATAGTTTAAACCCACTAGTTGCTCCAAGGAAGGAAGATAGACAGTTTGCTTCTGTAAAGATTTACCACCTTGGAGGACACCCAATGGAGGTTGCTATGAGTTGGAATTGACTGGATGACAGTGACAGTGAGTTTTTTTGGGTATATACTTACTAGTTTTAAATAATACTTAATTTTCTTACTGTGATATTTTTCTTCAAGATAGCACATTTTAAATTATCTTTTGTAAACATAAAGGAGCTCTCGTGGCACCATGGTTAAGAACTCAACTGCTAACCAAAAGGTTACTGCTCCATGGCAAAATATCTGGCAGTTCGCTTCTGTGAAGAATACAACCTTGGAAACCCTATGGGGCATTTCTTCTCTGTGCTGTTGGGTCTCTATGAGTTAGAATTAACTCAGTGGTAACAAGATCAAAAACATAAAAATAGTTTTAAGTAGTGCCTGTTTTAAATTAATGACCAAGTATTAGTTGTATTATGAACAATCTACAATTAGTTGTTATTTTTTCATTATTTGGATATTTTCATTCCTAGGGATGCTTGGAGTTCATTGGGTGATATGACCAAAGAGGAAGCCATGATTGCATATGTTGAAGAAATGAAAAAGGTAAGGAAAATAATTCACAGTAGAAAATAAAAATTTTCAGAGATGCTCTTAATATAATTTCGTTCCCAGACAAATTAGCTGCATTGGAAGAAGGGAGATTGTAGCATGTTATACTATAGAATCCAGATTATTGAATTTATTAGGCCTTTAGCTTTTTCGTTAAGGAGCTCTAGTGGTGCCATGGCTAAGGCTGCTAACCAGAAGGTCAGTGGTTTGAACCCACCAGCCACTCTGCAGGAGAAAGATGAGGTGGTCTGCTTTCATAAAGATGTTCTGTGGGTTGCTGTGAGTTGGAATGGACTTGATGGCAGTGGGTTTGGTTTTGGTTTGTGTTAGCTGTTTGATTACGTTTGAAGGTGTTTTTTCCTTAAGATTTACCACGTTCTTGTGATAATGCCTTTTTGTTTCTTTTCTTTTACCATTTATTGCTATTGACTTCTAGAGAAAGTTCAACCACCTAATCATTTAAGATTTGACTCATAAATTGAGATAGTCCATCATTGGACTTCCCAGTAGCAAGCAAGTAGAAGTTTTTCTGTGAATGTGTAAATCTTTCAGAAGGGGAGGATAAGATAAGGAGGGTGTGTTTTTAGATTCTCTGCCAGCTACTCAATAGGGATGTTTCTTATTAACAAGCTCTTTAAATCTGCCCATGGGATTATTATTATTATTTTTTTTTTTAATTAGGATTTGGGTGAAGATTTACAGAGTAAATTCACTTTTCATACAGCAGTTCACATATACTTTGTCTCATGTCATTG